AACACTTGAAAGAATGAGGATATAATGTAAGTTTACCTTATCCAATATTAGTATCAAAGAGTGTTTGGAAGCACCCAAAAGTACTTCTCAGCAAATCAAGACAAATTCCTCCACATTTTATCTCGTATACCGTAAAAACATTTTTAAAACTATGATTTGGTTTTTATCTAAACACCTCCTCAGTATCAATCAACTAGGAGGAGCAAATCAGATGCTTTGCTCTTGGGTTGGGTTGAATCCAAACCCCTACCTAAATTTTTTATGTATAGGGAAAAAAAAGAGTAAATTTTGATTTTTAAAACCAGAGGTAGTAGTTAATTAATCCTAAACCAAGTCAATTTCAAAAGAAGAAAATTGAGGATGTTATATGTAGCACCTTTATTTTCAAAGATTAATTAAACACCATGATGGTAGAAATTTTTTTTTTAAATCACGGTCAAAGATAAATAAACCCAATGACGCACTACAAATGGTAGAAAAGAGCTTACCCAAAAAAAAAAAAAAAAAGAATCAGCTCATGTTCATTACAAGTTTAAAGTGACCCCACTATAATAACCAAGGGATTAAACCATGAAATTTGGTCCTCAATTACTCCTTTCAATCTCACATCCACACACATTTCTCACTACTCATCATCACCTTTTCTAACATATTCCAATATCTATTAATATTTAGACACCACATGCTCACTACCTAACTTTCAAATCACCCAGAAAGCCATAATATTCAACCTAGGATTTTGCTAGACAATCACAAGTCCAAGAAAAATCACCACCAAACCATTAGAATACGTTCATCACAAAAGATTTCTAGATTCCAATATACCCAATGCCAAATAGCCGCCAAAAAGCACAAGCCAGAAAACACAATATGTGCCCCGGCCACACCTTCGTAACTCCAAATACCAGGATTCGTTATAGTCCCTCCTGTGATACTCCAACCACCCCATGAATTGGTTATTCCTAAACGAGTCATGAAGGGTATACAGTGTCAAATAAAACATAAAAACTCAAATAAAGCGGTAGGTTTTTTACTAGCCACAAAACTCTAAATCAGTCATGTCAGAAATCTAAGAGAAGATGAAGGTTAAAGAGACAGTTTAGAATCATTATCTTGATTATTTATAGCTCAAGAGCATGAAGGAAATCAAAATCTAGCAAAAGATTGAGTCCAAGCTGCTGCCCTCCCCCCCCTTCTGTTTCTGTGAGATTTGAAGGCTCATAAACTGCACCATAAACTATAGCACATGAGATAGCAACTTTTTTTTCCGTGCTTTTCTTCCAAATTTAGGCTCAACTAGAAATTTCTCTCCCGTGCAATGCACGAACTAAAATATTTAATTAATTTTAAATTCTAATAAATTGTATTATTTAAGATAATTCAAGATTTATTTTTTATAGAAGTGTGTTTTTTTTATTCCTTCAGATTGTATCTGAATTAAAGATGTGAAATTCAGGGAAAATATATGAAAATTTAAAATTAATTATTTATCTCTCCATTTAAACCCCAATTGACATATTATTTTATGATACTTCTCATTTAATTTAATATATTCAAATCCCAATTAAAATATTATTAAAATTCAAAATTAATTATTAATTTCTTCATTTGAGCCTCCATTAAAATCTCATTTAATAATGATACTCCTCATTTAATTCAATATACCCAAACCCCAATCAAAATATTATTCAGATTTTATTATTAATTGAATATATTCAGATCTTATAATATCATACCCAACCCGTTTTAAGCTAATCGGGTATTACAAGTTTTCAAGAATATAATTGATGATTAGACCCAATACCTCTTCTAGCTCTATTCTACACCTCAAATCAAGCGAATTTTGATTATAAATAAGAGATGAGTTTAATAGAAGGAATTAATTTCTTATAATACAGCAAATTAAGATTTAAACATATCTCCATTAAAAAATATACTCACATTTAGTATTCATCAATACTTCCAACATTAATATATCCAGTAAAAGAATATATGTGAAAACAATGCTGATTCTTAATTTAATACTACCTTCAGTTTTAATTATAAGAGCTAGTTAACTAATTTGAGAAGATTAAAGAAATAAGTTAAGTTAGTTATTTGTAATAAATATTGTGTTGTCTTTCCTAAAATATCCTTACTAATTAAGTTCATTGATTAGAACTACTATTATTAGAGGGACTACTTTAGAAAAAATACATAAATATGATAGACAAAATGGATTGAGGTCTTATAATTAGAATTAAAATAAAAACTAAACAAAGTCTTATATTAAAGACCGGAGGTAGGTAGTAATACACTTCCAAACACTTCTACGTATTGTTCTAAATTGTTATTATTAGATTACAGCTTTTACAAGACCACGAAATAAGTAGCTCTCAAAATGATTATTTGGTCTTCAATTTAAATAGCGGCCAAGGACGTGGGAACGCGTAAAAGCAACCAATACATACGTAGCATTGCTTGAACAAGACGTGCGTCTTCACATGCTTATCGCCATCATGAGAATGTAAAATATTAATATAACCTTTGTTTTGTTTTATTTTATTTATTAATTCGGGGATATTATATTCCTCAGTCAGTGTCCTTCTTTCTCTCTCAATCTCGAATCATGATTGCTTTCACATGTGCTTTACCGAAACATGCGCTTTCAACTGGCAAACGCGTTTCCTCCTTTTTCTGCGTTTTCGTCCCCATCTGCCATTTCAAAGATAAAATTATAATCAATGACCCAAACTTTATCAAATTTATGATGAAACCCTTGAGAACTCAAATTATTCCACGTATCAAATAAATCTGTAATCCATATGTTTGTGTAAAATTTATGAGAAATCATAATATATGTTTGTATATATAAATATACACCATAATCAAGTAGGAATACATATAAAATCTTATATGAGCTTGTTTAGTGTGCTTTTCCTTTATATATTTGCTTGTGAGTTGAGCTTGTTTGAATTAATGTTTGTGAAAAGGAACTTCTATTTCATCTAACATTTTGCAAACTAAACTAAGGATACAAATCAATTAATGTAATATGGTTTATATTTAGATATTACTTCCTCTAAATACCTAATTTACCGAGATAACTTAAATTAATTATTTATAAAAATATATATATTAAATTTTCTAAAATATTTTTCTTTTATCATTCACATCTGAACTATCTTTTACCAGAAATTTTTTTAACATAAAAAAAAATGAATTGAGATCTTACGTTTAGATCCTATATTTAGAGTCGAAAGTAATACTATTTGATTTAAAAATATTGACTTGCTTTTACTCAAGATATTTATATCTAATCATTTTAATAGTACTCTTTTAATTCTTAATATAAGACCCATTTAATAAATTTAATTAGATAAAGAAAATTAGGTAAGTTAGTTAATTATAAGAAATGTAATACATTTTTCCTAAAATATCATAATCATCTTTCTTAATACCCCTTATTTCTCTTCTACTTAATTATGGTTGAGTGAGTATCTATAGGGATAATTTAGAAAAAATTAATAAACATGAGAAATGGGTTTTATATTTAAGATAAAAACTAACTCAATAATTAGATTCTATATTAAGGGCTCGAGAAGTATAACTTAATTGCCAGTTTGAGAGGAAGTTGCCGTTGCGGTGAAGTTGACCAATCTTCAAACTTCGTGTCCTCCTTTAACAATTTGAGTGCAAAGAAAAGCAACGTCTGGCTCTATGTAATGATCTGTGGATAAGTTTTAATTAACTCTTTTTACAATTGGCATTTTCAGAAGGCCAAAAAGATAACCTTTTTCACTTTATGTTTTCGGCTGTGGAAATGCAAGAGCACTACATGGAGATTTTGAATTCTAGTCAAAAGTATAAGGCTTAAGAGTATGCTCTTTACCACACTTTCCTTATAACATCCAGGCCTTGCGTTTTCACTTTATGGCTTGATAAAGTGCAGGTTACTGCATCAACGATCATGAACTAAATATTTAGGCTTATGTCATGAGTCCTCTGTCGCCAAGGTTATCTTGAAGTAGGGGTTTTGTTGGAGGCTCTCTGCCTCTAGCTTTTAGAATGGGGATTTCCTTAAAGCGTGTTTGGTTGTGTCTTGCTTCAGTCCCAATTATTGAGATGAGACAAAAACTGAATGGGATACAAGAGTCACGAGACATGACAGAACATGAGATGGTGTCCCATCCCAATCTTATTTGGATATATTATTTTTTCTTAATTTCATAAATTTATTCTATTTGATTTTTATGATCATGTTGTTATTTATGAATTTTTTATGAGTTATATAATTTTTTTAGTGGATATTTTGAATTTTTATTTTTCCTCTTTCAAAAGGAAGTTTTTTTCCTCAATCAATTTCTGATTATCATATTTTTACTAATTTTTGAATTTTTTTTGTATAGTTTTTTTTAGCTGAATTTTTTTGCATAGTTTTACCATGGGTTTTTTTAATACTCCAATGCATTTGATTTTCAAATAAAAAAACTCAATTCAAAAAAAAATTTATTATCCTCTTGATAAATAACAACAAGGTGAACTACTAGTTGAATGTATTAGATTCTTTATTTATTTATGGGTTATCATAACATCTAGATAAATATTCACATTCAACTAGCAAGCTTGGAGAATAAAAATTTTTATTTACCCCTTTATTTATTACAAGGCAATGAAGAATTTAATAAAAAGAAAATGACGAGCTAACTTGAAGCAATGAATTCCTTCCAAACGCTAGTTTCCAAAATATATTATAATTCATTACCTCTGAAAAGTACTATACACTATTACACCAAAAATTAGACATTAACAATTAAATTATCCAATAAACGAGTCTATTGAGCAATGATTTATACATATTACATATACTCACAATTCATTTTATATTTTAATATTATCTTTAACTGATTATTAAATCTGGCAATTCAATTTTTTTTTTTTACCATTCTTGATCTGAAAATTGTATATTTTTTAAAGACAACTATGATGGATAGTGTTTCTATCGGAAAGAACCAAGCCGATGTGGATGCTTCTCCGTTTCGATAACAAAATCAAACTCTTTAAACTCAAGAATTATACGTAAATTTTGTATCTGAGCACAACAAGTCATAAGAAATAAATAAATAATGAGCTATTTGGGAGTGGTTTCTAGCAGAGAGGTGAGCAGAATCACAAAGATAAAGATAGCATTTACACAGTACCGTTGAGAGAGATCTTATAGTGCTGGAGCACTATTAGAAGTGGTATTGGCACGCCTACAGTCACACGTGCAGAGACTTCTAGATCCTTCTACTACCCGCTGAGATCTTCGCAAATGAAGCTTGATGTTCACCACCTTTCCAGCCAACTGTTGCATCCATCACGTAGCAGAAAACATCATCATTATACTCACAATACACAAGACAAATGCACCGTTCCTATAACAACATCAACACACCATAATATGACGCAAATCCTAAGAGTGGGCCTCTTGTAAAACAAACCACCTCAAAGTGGTGGTGATTAAGATCTGATTATGCAGCTCTTCATTGATACTCATCTAAATACAGGAATTAATTGAGGGGGTAAGCTTTGGTCCTATGTATAAGGCTTTAATCCATTTTATCTCTCAAGATTATAATGTCTTCTCAAACTATTTCTATTAATTGCATATATTAAAGGAGGTAAATTCCAATGCAAATGATTAAATGAGGTATTTTACAAAAACCAACACATTTTTCACAAATAACTAAACTAATTTCCTTAATCCTGATCAATTATCTAACAACTACATTTAGGAACGGAGAAAGTATTTCTAGAGATCTTCCATTTAACATTCTCTAAATTTGGAGGAATAGGTGGAAGAAATTGACAAAGACTAAAATAGGGTGACACGCCTAAGATACACATGGATTACTATTAGGTGCTTTATGGGATATTTAAGTTGGTTGGGTCTCCCATTTCGATAATCAATTTCCGGGAGAGGGTTCTCCATCTTACTAAAAATACTCGTCAGAAACATGTATAATCAAATCAGTGTTTAAAGGAATAATCTGGAACAAAATGCGCAGAGAGAGGATCATATGCCTATTTTTGGGACTTGGGATCGTGTATTATAACCATTTGTAATAACCTGAGCATAATGACTTTAATCCATGGATGCAAATACTTCCATTATCTAAGGACTCAAACTACTAAAAGGAACCTAACAAAATCTTTAAAAAATTATAGTACTCGCTGCGGTGTTCAAGTAAGGTCCAATCAGACTCATTCTAAATTAAAAAAGCTCATGGATTCCTACAGTTCGGTCTGTCATCCATCGTCAGGACGAAACCTAGGATTATCCCAATCACCACCACAATATTTTATTGACCCTGTATTAACCGTGCATTGCATCTGGAAAAAATCTAATGCCATACCGTGGAAAATATTAAAAGAAACCACAATAAGGGAGCTTTAAATGCATAAGATATAAACAAACCATTCTCCAAACCAAGTCTTCAGGACCCAACGGTTGAGCTGGACTGGAATACAGGAAATGCCTTGAATACTGAAGAAAACACAATCAAAAGTATCAACATCCAGAAAGACAAAGGACAAAATATTTTCTGAAAAAGTATAAACAAGAGCATTTATTTCTTTACATTACAAAATGGATTACTCTAGAATATATTTTAGACATAACCAATTTCCAAGTCTGATGCGTATAAATGATACTTAACACCAAACAATACCCGTGCAAATTGATTTTAAAAGATAACCACCCATATTTTGCAAGATACACAGCAGAAGAATCAAACAACAAAGTTCTAAATGAGAATTACAAAGTCAAGAAATAACATGACCACAAACCTTGGCAAGATTTTCTTGCATTTCTTTGATAACAGCAGGGCTAATGCCTCTCAAATATTTCAAAAGCCAACCTTGTTTTACGGCGTCATTAGAAGAAACAAACATTGCTATCTGAAAATATGCAAAAGGAGTCAGACGCAATTTCCCATTGAACAATCAAATAAAAATATATTCTAAAGCTCCAACAATTAAATTGGCCATATGACACACTTGACAACACAACCATATGACTAAGACAACCATCACCAATGTCACGTCTATAATGACCTCCGTAAATTTTTTAAGAATAATAAAACGTGAGTATTTATGATAAATCTGCTCTGTTTTCAGCCAATGGATCAATAAAACAAAAGTACCAAAACTGAATCATACCCAGATTATCATCATCATCATCATCATCATCATCATCATCATCATCATCATCATCATCATCATCATCATCATCATCATCATTATTTTGTCAGCATAAATATCCTCCTATTAGAGGTAATCCTGTTCGAGGTACTGTCGGGCACTAAATGTAAAGACCTCTCTCAGCGGGGATTCGAATCTTGGTTCACCACATTATGGGAGACTAGCCCCTTCCATTAGACTAAGCCCCTGTTGGTTCCCAGCTTATTATTTTACTTAATTCATATGCGTTTAGGTGATTAAATGAAAAAGAAATAAATTCTCAAAGACTAAACAATATTCCTCTCCAGATTGGCAGGTTTCTCATAGGCAATATGAATAAGAAAGCATTTTCCAATAAAGATGCATCCATAAAGTATCTTCACAGGCATGTCAGCCATCAACACCACCACAACACACTGCCAGAACATGTAAGACAAAACATTCCCTTTTTGGCTTGGATAGCAAGAAACCCCAAAAAAATGGCCCCAAAAAAAGTACAATGAGACTATACACCTCATCTTGATGAGATAATAAAAAATCTTTCCCCATGATGTTGCATACAAATAACATATCAAACAACATTTTATATGAGAGACTTAACCGAAAATAATGGAACAAGGTTGACAAGTATTTAAGATTTAGGATAATGCTGATTGCATTTTTCTTGGACATAGATGAGCGACGGAGAAATATACTAATGCAAATAATATACACCATGTTGAGATGTGTTTTAAATTTTTCTTTGAAATTTGACACGTTAACATGTTTGTATCCTACGCTTCATAAATACATTAAGCCATTATATGCTTGCTATAACTATATATGCAGGCATAGACATATAATGCAACAGATATAACAGAGCAACTTGCCCACATATTCTATGCTAAAATAAAGCCGGCAGATCAATTAGGCTAGCTAACTAGCAACCTCACAAGGCTACATCTTATTTAACAATTGATTAATATAACATTTTACATCTAATTAATTACTTGACGCCCCCTAGATATGAATCTATCAAGGGAACTGACATGAATGCATACACACCTTCCTGTAGTCAAGTATTCCTTCAAAAGGGAGCTCCAGTTCATCACTAATTATGACAGGAATGCATCCACTAACAACAGCATCAAATAATCTAGCAGATGATGGAGTGTCACCAGCAGGACTCATGCAAAATAGAGACCTGATCCATAGAAGGAAACAAAATAATTACCACAAAGTATCTAAACATGCTAAATATTTTCAAGTGTTTAATCTAGATTACTTGCGCATGCCCCTTTGAGCTGCTTCTTTTCCTCCCTCTCCAGCTGTTCCCTCCTCTATAATTACATCATCAGCTCCACTTAACTCTGCAACAAGTTTAGAACGTATTTTTCCTCCCTGAAATTGCGAAATGAAAATGAAATCAGCCAAACCAAAATATAAAAATAAACAACAAATCCATCAAGAAATGTTAGCCCGCCAAATCATATAGTGAGTGAATGACTAAACTTTTAAGCATACGTGCATTCATATTTTCACCCCATAGCAGCAAATGAATAATATAAGCAAATTAAATTTTATAAACACCATCCAAAAACCTTGATTGAAAATCAAATAATCTAAAGGATGCAAATGAAGTCACATGATGCTGACCGATTCTTGAGGGACTCAGATAGAGTCAAAAGTGCCTAGAAAATTACAGCTGGATACCGGATAACACCTTTAAAGAAGTGCATTTAAAACCATGGCATTTCCGTATACCAAAGCCACTCACAAGGTAGTAAAGTATCGCAAGAAAAAAGGTCTACAATCAAAATCTTTTAATCAGATAAATCAACAACTGATATGCTATAGATACATGAGGCTACAATTTCCATTTCAAGAGTTGATTTTGATTAAGCCTAAACTAAACATGATCAAGATAATTTGACTTCCAAAAAGAAACAAAGTGATGTTCCATGACATAGATAACAAGTAAAGTTATCACATGAAGAACAGTAGAAGTCTAGAATTATTACTTCACACAATATCTACCTAATTACCACAAATGATGGCCCCAGCAATAAGCCAGACTAATGGGTGAAAACATGATTAATTGATTTGAAATTAGTACATTATTTTATTATTAAAATAGGATGTTATTACTCATAAGCGGTTATGAAAAAAAAAAAAACAATTACTCAGTAACAAGTACAATATTTCTTACTTTCATACTTTCAACTAGTAGCATGCTTACCGCATTTCTTTTAAGCCGACCACGAAAGAAAAGCAATGTACTTCTCTTTGGATTTGTTTCAGATAAACATTTGGCATCACATAAATCAAGATTGGGAACATAAGGAAGAATCAGGTCCTTCTCAAGATAAACCTGTCCTGGCTTGTACCTACAAGATAAGAAAGATCATCAGGGCCAGTTTCAAAGACTAAAATTTTGATATACAAATTTAAATGGAACTTAGGCGTTCACCAGTTTCCTGTGGAATCCATATCTGGCAACAGCCAGATCGCATTCTTCATGAATCGGCGAACAGTTTTAAATGACCAGGGATGATGCACCGGAAGTATGTGGTCTCTTCCACCAGAGCGCTTCCATGCGGGTTGATCTTGCACCCACTTCAAAGCTTCCTATGCCCACAATTAAGACAACATTACAGATAGAAGACATAGTGAATTATTAATAAGGAAAAAGTTAAATTACATCAATCATTCATATATAAAGCACAAGGGATACAAATAGTTCCTGTTAAATATGAAAAATGGGTTCCCTGAAGGCGCCAACTATCAGGAGAATAATCATAAAATTTGGAAAAAAACGCATTGATCAGTATGCTGCTTTTTAAATATATTCATAGTGGAAAATCTGAAAGGTAAAAGCACAAATTACAATACAAGAACAAGAGACAAAACACAATTTACAATACATGCAAGGGGCAGTGAAAAAACAATATGAACCCACATAAAATAGGCATCTGAGCTAGCTCTTCTAGCTCCACAGTCTAACTTGATGGGATTAAGTTACATGGTTAAAAGGCAACAAAAATGGACCAAATGCCAAGTCTTTCAGAACAGAGAGATTCTACCCTGCAAATTTCTGATATAAAAAACGTATCAGAAATGGATTATAGACTTGGTTCAAGGTATACTAAACAGGAAACTTATTTCAAGGGTGAAATGACAACAGATTTTGGATGAAATTACACATACAATTTAGCAGAAATGACTTCCTGCTAATAATAATTCTGTAAATTTCATCTTAATTGATTTGAAAAGGTTTAATCAATACAGATTATTTTCACTCCCCTAAAAAATGCAGGAATTGTTACCATGGAACTACGAACTAAAACTACTAAATCAAAAGCAGCTCAGTTGATAGAATTTATAAAACCATTCTTCAACAGCAGCCTCCATAGGTTGGCTATTACTTAAAGCACGCATGAAAAGAAAGGGGAACCAATTAAAACATTTAATAAACAAATGAAATGTGAATAATTCTAAGCAATATTTCTTATTAAGAAAAAATATTACTACAGAGACAAAGAAAGGACAGCATAGTAGTTATAATGACATAAAATCAAACCCGTGTAGATATAAATCATAACTCAACAGTATTAATGCTTCACCTGTGCTAATAAAGTAGAACTTTTTAACAAGAAGGGAAGGAGAGGGGAGATCACATCATACACAATAAGACAGCCTAGTTGTTTTTCATTTGTGCTTGCTTGTGGAGAAAGAAAAAAACAGGGAAAAAAGGACTTAATTTACAGCCCGCCGTTAAATATTGGAGGAACACACAAAAGCAAATAAATTGATTGCTGAACCAAGAATTAGTGCGACTTGCTGGCACAATTAACATAAGATATCATAATGTTGTAACTAGTAGCAAATCAAAGTGGAACAGATGGACCAACTGAGAAGACAAATATTTCTGGTCATAAGCCATGGGAGAGAACTTGCAACACTGAGAACAATCAACTAATGAATATACAAGCAACACATTAACCTCCAAAAAGAGAAGGCAACTTCTGAGTGAAACCAGTTAACTGCTAATTCATAAATGCAGCAACTTTCATGCAGCAGGAAAAGAATTTCTTCATTGTCATTTATAATCAAGCTCAAAGGTACCAACACAGACAAGGGACAACAATAAGCTGGAAAAAAAATACACTCTTGGAAGAGCACTCACACCCTATAAAGTGCCTTGCATTGTTGTTTCTCCATCAGGAAGAAGCTTATGGTAGTAAAGAAGGGTATGTAGAATAAATCTGCCTCCTCTTGCCGATGAACTCTAACAACAGTCTTTAAAAGTCTTTCTGATTCTGGAGCAATCAAATCTGCCCAAAGCCAATAATCAATGGAGTGCTGCATTGACAACAGATTTCACTGATTAAAGAAGAGATTATGGGAGAGAGAGGAGAGAGAAAAGGACATGGAAAGTTATATAAAGCAATCAAACAATACCAACAGAACAACATAGTCCTATATCCCAAGATTTACATGTAGGGAAAGAGTAAAAAGAAGATATTTCTAATATGTCAATTCAGTATAGATGGCTTTCTTCCCATAATTTCATAGAATAATCGTTCTAAAATTACAAAAGGATTAAGACAATCATTTCATTATGTGTTCTCCGTTAGCTAGATACTAATCCGCGACAAAACAGCCATTCAAATAGCATGAGATAACCTTGAATACCAGTAATGATAACAATAACTTCGAGAAAAGTAAGCCTGATTGTCTAATGATTTCAATCCTCTTTCATGCTATTCCTCATATCATCACATAGTTAAACAAAACATTCTCCTAGAGGAAAACAATTGCACAATAAAATTCACAGAGCGAAAAAGAGAAGGTACAACGAATATCATTGAAAAACAGAAACTAGTTGAGTTGTGATGGTACCTGTTCGATGAGACGGTGCACTGGACTGCCATTGGAGGTCAGATTGTCGGTCTCCTTGTAAGTATTCCTAAACAGCCAGAGCAAATCATAGGTGAATTTGCTTGGCATGTTATACACATAAACCTTAAGCGGCAAACTCACAGGATAGTAAGGATCTCCATATAACCTATCCATCTCCATTTCATAAATCTTATTATCCAGCTTTCTCACCTCCTCTTCCCCAGCTTCCCCACTCACAGTATCATCGCGACCGAATGTTGATCCAGTAGGTGCTTTACGTGTGAGGAAATCCTCTAGTGAGGCCACAAATGAGGTCTCCACATTAACGTTAGGGTTCAGAAACTGTGAACGCACAGATTGGCGCTTTGGAGAAGGGGAAAAGAGGAAGAAGAGGAGGGAGAATCCGAGAAGCAAGAGACCGAAAAGGAGGATTCGAGATTTGGATCTTGGGACATGCTTTCCTGCCATTTTTGCCTTCTCTCTATCTCTCTCTGCAAGATTGGTGGTGAAATAATCAAATAAACTTCAAGGTAGAGATTCTGATGAAGAAGCTGATCTTACGAGCAAGACTGAAGCACCGAAGCATCTGCGTTTTGATCTCCTGAAGCTCCGCGAAAGGGAAAATGGTCTTCAGATTATTAAGTGAAGAATCAGTTAAAAAAAAAAAATAGAAAATATGAAAACCAATAGCTTCTGAATAATAAATTGGAACGAAAATTGAAACAAGGGACGGGGAAAATGATCATAAGGCACGACAATAGTATTTTAGGCATAATTTCAAAAAATTAAATTATCTCTGATACTTAATATAAAGCCTATTTAATTAATTTAATTATATTAAAAAAGTTAGATGAGTTGATTAATTATAATAAATATAATATGTTTTTTTTATAAAATATCTTAGTCATCTTTTTTAATGTCTTCTATTTCTTTCCTACTTGATTATATATGAAAGAGCATCAATGAAGTAATTTGGAAAAAATTGATTAGTATTAAAAATAAAATTTATATTTAGAACCAAAATTAACTTTATAATTAGGTTCTACATTAAGGATAAGAAGAGTAATTGTTTTTTTATTGTATCATCATTTGTACAAAATATTTGTTTCCTTGAGTAAGACATGTTTAGCAAGAAAGAATTGTTATGAAGTCTCAAATAAAAGACATAATTATTAAAAAAATTTATAATAACATAGCAGCTTATAATGATAAGTTTTAAAGTGGTAAATGACAATTCCTCACTTATCATTAGTATTTAGTGTTAATTATTTTTTAAGATTTGTTTATAATTCTCCCACTTAGCAACTAGACAACTTTAGTTTTAGACACATCAATTACAAAAAAAATTAAAAAAAAAAAATAAATTATTTTAAAATATGAAAATACCTATCACGAATGATTTATTATCATCAGTCATGTCGTGTATGCTACACCTTAATTAACAAAAAATATTTTTGTTGTAATAGAACATGACATGATTCCATCGATCTTAAATGAAGATATCACATTACTAATCATACTTTCTTTATACTCGGATGTTACAAGATAACACCTTGTTTCTATAAAAATATCACAGGGAATTGCCTATTGTGAATGATTCACTATTGTTTTTTTTTTTTGGATAGCAAATGCAAATTTCACATTAATTGACAAAAGCAAAGGGTCCAATCATATTTAGCAGGTCTCTTACATCCTTAAGGAGATAGTTAAGTTCCCGTGGGACCGTACTACCAGTCATTAGCAGTTTTACATGAGAAAGTTTAAGCGCCTACTTGGATTGCCATTGAAGTACCAAATGTGTTTTTTTTTTTTGGTAGTAGCACCAAATGTGTTTTGGAATTGACAAAAATCTAGTTTGTGGGTGAGTTAGAGTTTCTGGATTGTTTGGATTGGCTTTTTGTGCAAACAACTTTTGCTTTAAAAGTTGATTACGCTGTAAAGCTAAAATTTTCAGCTTTTGCAGCTACATCGTGGAGAGAGAAAGCAAATGAGAATGAAAAGAAAGATAAAAATATTTAAATGGATCTTATCTCGATCCAGTAATTTAATTTTTCAGTAATAAGTTAATTATTTTTTCATTTATTATTTTTCTTAAATTTTAATCAAATTATATACATGTGATATATTGTTTTAAGTCCTTAATATAATATCTAGAAGACTAATTTGAAGAGATCATAGAAGTTAGATAAATTACTTGATTATATCATATGTCATATAATCTCTCTAAAATATTTATACATATCACTAGATTACAAATAAATATATAAGTCAGGTAAATTAGTTTGGAGAAAACGATATCTTTTTTAATTATTTTATATCTGAACTTATTTTTTTATCACTTTCCAAACAAGTTTCAATATATCAAACTGACTTTTATAAAGATTAATTTAAACATAAATCACATTACGACTTTTGTCCTAACTCACGTTTGTAAAAGTCAAATAGAATAAAATTCATTTTCGCCCCTGCTAATCCAAGTTTACATAACAAAGGAATAGATCAAGATTGTGACGCCTGTGACACCAAGGTCTGATGGGAAATGACAAAGCAAGCTCGCTGGAGAGTTAGCAGCTGCAACTGAAGTTTTCCCTTGGCAAGATTGGGAGAAAAGCACCATGAATTTAACTCTGTGAGCAAAAGACATACGAACATGTATTTCTATTCGTCGCTGTCTTGATTTTCTTGCAGAAAATGGAACAAACCAGTACTGATGTGCAATTAAGACCATCACTTGGATTGGGACGATAGGATGCTGCAAGAAATGCCATTGGATATGCTTCTCGATCTGAATAGTGAGACTCACATCTCTGATTCTTCAAGGTGCTTGTCATTGCCATGGAGATGATCCGAGGAGAAGAAAACTTCTGTCCTGTGTGACAAATTTGATTCCGAACGAACCTCAAACACTCCAACAAATAGAAAGGTAAGCAGCACAAAAGAAGGGCAGAAGTATTAAAGGATAAAATCCAAAGATTAAGCCACTGGGTAAAGGTCCATCCGAATGAGAGTCGATCCTAAGACCAATGATTCACTATTCTTAGTTATACCGACTATGCTAGAATTAGGTCAGGGAAACTTTGGTGTTATAACAGAGCGTCACATGATTTCACTTTGTGAATCAAATGGACCTAAATGAATCTCCTATGTGTTGTATAATTTTCTTGAAATAAGCTCAAAAAGTGCATTGATAAGTTATTATACATTTTACTTGTTATTTTTTTGGTCTTATATTAATTTTTGAAGTACAACCATTCAAGGAAATTTGTATTGTTTGTAGTGGAAATTAGATGTTATAGAAAGTGGTTCATTTTCTTCATCTCCTTTTTAACCACAAAATGACAGGAATACCTACAAGTTTACCGCATTTTTAATCAATTTTATGTAGCTTTTTTTTTCGTTAGGTCCTCAAAGTTAACTACAAAAACTTGATTAAAAATCGGATAAAAGTATAGAGATTTGCAAATGAATTTTTTTCTTAATTATATATATATTAATAATCACATAACATGGCTCAATCGACTCCATTAGAGATTGAGCTTTGCTGATTGAACAGAGGTTGCAGCAAAGTTATTTGAGGGGCTTAAAGGATTTAAAGGGGAAATAAGTATTGAGATAATATATCAAAATTCAAAATCTTATCATACTTCATTCCATTCCCATAAAAAGCTAATTAAGCTACACTTTTTTTTTTATGTTTAAGAATATTATAACATATATTATGCCCCAAAAAAAATTATGTGTAAGGGGCAACCGACGGGCACATAATGTATGGTATGCCATGCCATTAAGTGATGCAAGCATGTGCCTTATTTGGTGTGGTAAATAGGTGAAGATATACATTATATTGTCATGTAGACGACAATGACTCGTTTGGTATATATAAAAAGATAAAAGTGCATCTAGTACTTTGATCTTATTTTCTAAATACATTCAGTATCTTGATTTTGTTATTTTTCAGATACGTTCAGCATATTGATATTATTTTTTTGTTACATCTTCTTTAAAGTGTTAGATATACTAAAGATAAGATCAGAATGTTAGATATACCATACAAAAGATTAGGATACTAAATATATTTAGGAAGAAATATAAGAATGCTGGATGTAACTTTCACTGTGTATAAAATTCAACAAAAAGGACTTTCTCTTTTATTTGATAAGAGGTAACTTTCTTTCCTTGCCTCGGAAAGGAAAATTCTATTAAAAATTCTTAGCTATGGGAAATGCAATTTTAGTGACCAAAATGCCCTCCAACTTTCATCAAATTCAGACCATGTCCCAACCAAACATATGTGGTCTCAATTCGCATCCACGTCTGACCGTCACCCTCCCTCACATCTCCTCGACTAGCCTCTTCCTTCTTCTCCGGAGAATCAATATTAAACCCACATGGCCTCAGTGCTGATGACGGCAGTTGTGGTTTTATCAGCAATAATAGTAGCAACGGTAGTTACTTCCTACATTTCAATGTGTTCCTTTCCGTTATTCACATACCTTTGATAGATTTTCTTTTCATTTAATTTGATGGAAAAAATGATTATTTTTCGACCATGGTATTAAGGTCTTTTGCATTTTAAAGCTCTCCTATTATTCAAAATCTAATTTTACTCTCATTTCAATTTTCATTTCATTATTAAAATTCCACCATGATGTTTTATATTCCTCCAGTCCTAAATATAAGACTTATTTTATAGTGTAATTTATACTATAAAAAGAGTCTTATATTTAAGACCGGAGGAACTACCATAAAAAAAGCAACAATTTGATTTTTAATTGAAGAGACGAATTATTCTGTGAAAAAGATGGAAATAATTATATAGACTCAAAATCTTAAAAATTCCTAATCTACCGAAAACAAAAACAATGAACTCTTTTTTTATACTCCTCCGCTCCTTAGTATATAACCTATTTAACTATTTTAATTAAATTAAAGAAGTTACTTAAGTTAGGTAATAATCATAAATATGACATATGTTTTCCAAAATACCCTCAATTAAAACTTCTTTAAAACACTGACATTTCAAAAAATGTTTTAAATTATTTTATTAAAAATATAAAATGGTAGAATCGATGTATGTGTGGAATTAACAAGGAACAAAAAACCGGACTGGGTATTGAACCGGTCGAGGAAGTGGTTTAAGGGTTAATGGTTAGACCGAGGTCAGACCGGGGTCAGACCGGTTATATTAAAATAATATAATTTAATTAATAATGACAAAATATAACAACATTAATAATCACTTATAACAAAATATAAAAAAATACAGTAATAATTTAGTTACAGCACATAACAAAATAATTGAAAATATTCATCATTACAATCTTTTAATCATTAAAATTCAAAATATTATATTTGATATAAAATATTTGATTATAAAATTTTTACGTAGTATAATAAAGAAACTGCATTCATCTCATTGTTTTGCAAGACGGTCATTTTTTTTATTATAAAATATGTATTTACAATTTACATGTCATGGGAGATAAAAAAAATTAAATTAAATGAGGCTTTGAAAAACGAAAAAAAATGGACAGAACACGTTATA